CGGACGGTGAGGCCATCTGCTCTCACAAAGATGGACAGCCTCAGAAGCCGGTCAGAGGTCACTGCGACTCAGAATCAATCTCTGACAGTGGGTTACTTCTCTGTTTCTGTAAGCAAGTAGGGTTTATTCCAGAAGAGAGGAACTCCTCGGTTAATTAATTACTTATATTGTGCTATATGTTGAAAAGGGAAAAGAGGACCTCTTCAGTTACCCCATCCAATGCTTATGAAATGATTACTCTTCTCTGAATAAACAAACGTAAAATTAAGCTTCAATTAAGAACAAAATACATGTGACTAATATGTTCCCGAGATATCCCTACCAGAAAAATGACCTAATTTACTGAAAATGCTAGAGAATCCATGAAAAGAGAAGGATATCTGCTATAATATTCGACCCCTAATGAAATAGAAAAAAAGGAAAATATTGAAAAGAATGAAAAATTAAACATACTTCTTGTTCAGGTGATAAATTAAGTATATATAACAGAAAAAAGAAAAAATTAATCAAGTCAAGAATATATATTACAAATTATATATTAATATATAAAGAATATATATTAAAGAAGTAATAAACCAATGCTTTTTGCTCAAAAAAGAAATAATTAAGTAGAAAATTCATTGTGTAAAAATGTTTCAGTTCATAAAGCAAAAAGAAAAAGTAAAAAACCTGAAAATTGATTCAAATAATAAAAACAAAGAATGTCTAAAGTGATTATGGAAATCAATATTAAGCTCATTTAGATGCTAGAAAAGTAGACCTAAGAAATAACCTTAGAATGGTTACATAGAACGCTAAAATATTGCAATGTCAACCATTGCCCCATAGCTAATCTATACATTTAATAATTTCCAATTGGCATCTAAAATCACTAAGGGATTATAATATTAAAAATAAAATTGGTGTAAGATTTAATTTATCAGACTGGAAGTTTTCATATTTATAATATTTAAAACAGTAAAAAATTGGCAGAGATAAATGATCTATCAATATTTGGAATGAAAAATGCAGAATCCAAAAAGATCATTTAGCTTATTAAAGTATAGATTTGAAATATTGGGGCAAGTAGATGCTTTAATAAATAATGTTGGATCAATGAACTAATGTGCACAAATATAACACAATCTTCATACCTCACAGGATACGTAATTTTAGTTATAATCTATAACCTAATATATAATCTATAGCCAAATGTAAAAGGCAGACACTAACTAGACAATGCCTAGGGAGTATTTGGACAATCTTGTGGTGGAAGAATATGTTAGTAAGACACTAAATGTAGAGGCTGTGAAGGAAAGACTAGCAAACTAGTTATTTAAAATCAAAAGCTGTCAACAACTTTTAAAGATAAACTCTTACTTGGAAAAGTACTTATTCCATGTAAATGCTTTACTCCTTGCCATAGTGTTAACTCTGACCCGTGGTGCACATGGTTCTCTCTCTGTAGAGTAAAAGTGCTCTATGGAGATTTCTTGGCTGTAATCTCTATAGAAGCAAATCACAAAGGCTTACATCCTCGGTGCTAGTAGGTAGGTCTGAACCACCAAACTGTATTTTCGTAGCCAACCTATAGGTTACAGCTCAAGCACCAACCATGTACACCTCTCAGGGACTGTAAGCACTCTAGAAAACAGCCAAAGAAACAAATAAAAGGAAAAAAAAGTAAAGAAAAGCACACAAAGACTATTTGAAATCCTTGGAGTATATTAAAAAGATACTCAATTATTAGAAATTCTAAGTAATACAAGTAATGAGATTTACTTTTTTTAAAAATGTAGAGCATTAGCTAAATGCATCATTTCAATGATCAGAAAGAAGCATGCCTATGTGGAAAAAACATTCTTAAATGCTACTTGAAGAAGTACAGGTTGATGGATCATAAAAAGCAAGTTGATACTATCACTTTTTAAAGTATTTATATTCACTTTTAGTAAAATATTTCACTAGACCAGAAAAGTACAAAGATCTATACGAATATTTATTACAATATAACTATGCAATGGCTGTAATCTAGCAGTCCACGAATATTTCACTTGTGGCTCACAATGAAATTTCATCAAGCCAATAAGATAAGTGGAGTTTTAAATGCTGACATGAAATTTATTTATCTACATAATTGCATTGAAACATGCATGGTGATCCAAGGAATGGTTATATTTATAATATTCTATATACTTGTTAAATATCTAAGATAAGATCTTTGCAATAAATAACTAAAACATTTGAAAGAAAGTGGATGAATAAGGCCAAAGAACAAGGCATGTCTAGTGAGGAATGTCCTTAAGCATTTTCTACGACATACTTTAGCTTTTTTGTTCTTGAGGCCTTTTGGAACTAAATAATAAGGAAGGTGGGAGGAGAAGAGGCGAGGAGACGGGCGCTTGGAATAGTCCATTTTCCTAATATTATACTCCAGAAATGGGGCTCTATCCATTGTTTCCGTATGTGTAGTTCTGTTACGATGATCCTCAAAATAAATCAAGCTTAATATTTGCTGTGTCCAAATTGTACCTGTAAAAATACATAATACTGTTTCAAATACAAGTTGATTCATAACAGTAAATGTAGTCATCATGCTCTTCATCTTCCCTCTGCCCCTTTTGATTTGAGCTTGCTGTTCTAGGCACAGCGCCGTGAACACACGTAAAATTATCCTGAAGGTTAATCACTTCAACTTTGCTTCCTCATCCACTTCAACCACTGAAAAACTTCAAGCCAAGTCTTGCAAATTTTCCTATGTGTAAGTAAATGTGCACATGAGAAAGGTGTTTTCAGTAGTTTCTGTGACCCACCAGGATCGTACTCGACCACCATTTTGTGTTGACAGTCCTACAGACTTAAAAAAAGAGAGAGAGAAAGATCTAATCGCTATGTCAGGTCCTCATGGTCAAAGCTTTTTTTTTTGAGACATCTGTGGTGGATTCTATATATCATGGAGTACAAAAATGACACCTGTTGGAAAATTAAATTATTTGGGAGACAATTTAGTAAATAAAGCATTCATAATCTGGAAAGACCCAGATTTTGGACTGAGATAGCATTGTTTAACAACCATTTTGACAAGTTCCAACTTCATATATATGTTCATGGTCACACCAGGCTTTCCATTGTTATTGTTGTGATTTTTCAGGGTAATCAGTCTCCTCTTGTTTATTATTCCCCTCGAATGGGTTTAAAGCCCAAACCTGGAGCCTTGCAGGACAGGATCTTAGATGGGATACAGGCTGTTGAAAAGAGAACATGGCTTTGTGCTTTGTTTCTGGTTTGTGAAGTGGGCACGTAGTGTGGCTATGGGCACATGGCTGCACTTGACACTCAGGTGGGACGCGGTGTTTTCTGGTCCCTCCATACTGGCTTCCTCTTGCTCTGCTACAGGAAAAACCTCTCAACCGCCAGTGCTGCCATTGCCCAGGCCCAGGCTTCTCCAGCAGCACCGGCAGTTTCAGCAGTGGCAACAAGGAAATCCAGAAGCAGGATCCCATCAAACTGTAATATAGTGTGCATACAATCTCCATCTCACATAATGTCCTCTGTCATAGAACATACTGTGGAAATTAAAAAACATATGCCTGTACGTCTAAGAAAAAGGTATACTTAAAATGCAATGATCCTTCTATGACTGCAAAAGAACTCTTCATCAAACATCCATATTCCACAATGTCAGTAGTTTAAGCCAAGACTTGCTGTGATCCACATACAGTGTCTACACACCACGCTAAGGAGTCATCCTGTACCCCCCTATATTGTGGGACGCACTGAAATAAGAAATTAAGGACAAGGATGATGACCTCAACTTGTACAGAGTCCCATTCCTCTTGCCACACAAAGTTTTGACTCAGCCCTAAAAAAGAGTGGCAGGAAAAGCACATGGAGACTTGATCCATGCCCCAGGGAAAGAGTGGCAGCCAAAAGGCTGGATGCATCAAGTTCGATGAGACACCAATAACATGTGCTTCAAGCTCTTCCGTTAAGAGCTACCTCACTTTCCTCAAGGTGAAATGTCCTTTTGTAAGGACACAATGACACCCAGAATGCTCTTTAGAGGCAAGGATAGAGAAACTTCACCTCATAAACTTTTCACATGCTGTCAGGAGACACATGGGCCTGGAAAAGGACGTTATTCTCGAAGTAGCAGAGAGGCAGCAAAAGGAGGAAGGCCCTTGACAAGATGAACTGACACAGTCCCTGCAACAATGGGCTCAAACCTGAGAGCGACCGTGAGACTGGTTCCGGACCTCTGCTGCGTTCTGCAAACATACCGTTGCTAGGAGTCAGAATGAACTTAGAACAATAATGATGATGACACCATTTCATCTCCCCCCCACTTTTGTCTAGTTTCTGATTTTAAATGTAACATTTCACATTGTTCACTGTTGAATATGATGTTTGCTATAGTCTTTTGATAGATTCCTTTATCAGGTTAATAAAAACTTAACTTTCCCCTCATTTGCTAATCGTGTCCATTCTGAATAAATGCTGGATATTATTCAATGATTTTTCTGCATCTCCTGAAACGATCATGAGGGATTTCTTCTGTTGTCTAGTAATGCAGGTCAACTATAATAATAGATTTAATATTGTCCAAAGCAATCTTGACTCCTGAAATAAACATACCCTGTTCACAGACTATTTTTCATGGTTAGATTTGGTTTGCATTTGAATGAGGTTAGAATTTTTGCTCTTATGTTCATGAATATACCATCAATGTTCTAGGAAGTGAAGTGTCAAAAATATAACACATATTATTGCTTAATTGATTATCTACCTTTTAGAGTTGAAATAATTTATGGTGGATCCTGAGATACTCAATATTGTTCCCTTCAAGTGAACAAGAATCATTCAGGATGGAAGAAGCATTGGGTGTGATGGCCCAGAAACAGCCTGATTTAGGGTGACCTACTCTTCTATGGACTATAGTGCTTTACCTAAAATTAAGCAAAATTGGGTGACACAGACATTAAATGGTGGGGCGGGGGAAATTGAAGAATTTCAGTTTTGTTAAATGGAATCATCAATCCAAAAAATTTTACACAATGGAAGAACCTAAGGACAAAGCAATATGTGTCTAAATAAACATGCGATGATCTTCAAAGTAAAAGCTATTAGAGAAAAACTAGAATTTCTATGAGAAATAGTTTCTTTGGTACTGACTTAGACTTCCCTATAACTCTGAGCAGCATTAACTAATGAATTAAACATTGCTTGAATGCCACCATATAGATCATGCTCTAGAAAACATAATTTAAAACTAATTGTTTAGTAAATCAAGGGCAATTTCTTCTATTTCAAAATGATTTCTTTATTATTGGTAAATGCAAAAATTACCACAAATAAAAAGTGTTATAAGGATTTATTTCTACCATCAAATATAAACATACAAAAATAGAGCAATACACTGGCATGAAGTCAATTCCAATTCATAATGATCCTATAGGATGCTATAGAGTAGAACTGCTCCTTATATTTCCTAAGGCTAAATCTTTATGGATGCAAATAGTCCCATTTCTCTCTGTGGAGTAGCAGGGAGGTTTAATGTTCTGTTAATGAAAACTTGCTCATCTCTGAAATATATTTTCTCCCATTCTCAGCCCAAGTTAGCATGCCATCACATAACAAGTAATTGTTCTTTACTCAATATTTTGTTTCTTTATATTTTTTATCAGAGTTGATATCATTTCCATTGTAAATGTCCTCACCAGCATATATATATGTGCTTCAAGTAAATTTTTTCTGTTCCTGCGTGATGTCCAATATGTGCATACCCATGTGCAGAAACCAGAGTAATGACGGGTAACAGAGGACCCAGCCCTGAACTCACCAGATTTGGGATATGTGATTATGAAGACATCATCATCTCTAATTTCAAAATCATCTAGATTTTCTAGGTGATCAATATCAACCAAAGAATGCTCAAAATTATAGCCTTTAAAATTGAGTAAATATGTGTCCTCATCCATTATTAATCACCTGCAAATAAAAACATGACATTATTTTCAGGCTCATAGTATTTTATGTAAAATAACTAAAAGCTATTGAATAGCTAATATAATCTGGGCAACATTTAAGTGTCATGTATCTTTTAAACTCATTTATCATCATAAACATTTTATAAATATCAAAGCACTTAATATTTACAATAACCTAATAAAGTAGGCATTGCTATTATTATTTTTTTTAAATGAGAAAACCAAGATTCTTAGAGTTTTAACAGTGTTCCCTAAAATCACTCGAATGAAGTACTATCATCATTTCAAACATACGGTTGAAGAAATTAAGGAACAGTCATCTTGATTAAATTTCTCACAGTTACCCAGCAAGCAGAACACAGAACTAAGATTTGATGCAAGCACTCTGGACACAGAGCATATGCTTCCAATTCACCTCAATATAGAGCTTATAAGTATTTCATATTTTTATTTCCCATTTTTCATTGTTGTAGCAATACGAAATTCAATATACTTTTAGAAAATATACTTTTAATTATTCGGTTTTTTGCAGAGCATGAATTATCTGCTGTCTCTAAAAGATGCTTCTGAGACATTATGTCACTCGATTTGTGTGTTAGGTCAGGGTGACTAGAGAAACAAATCCAGTGACTCTCAAAATGTCAAAAAGTAATTGTATATCAGGAAAACATCCCATCCCACTCCAATTCAAGTCCTTTAAGTCCAATACTAGTCTTTAAGTCCCTCTGCAGATTCACAAAGCCACATGTAATGATGCAGAATGCGGGAATATCACTGGTAGGTGGATACAAAGTCTTTATGCCCCCACCCCCATTTTGGGTATCCAATTTCTATACTTCCCTTCTATCAACCCAGCACACTGAGGAGACAAGCATGTTTTTGAGGTGAAGAATCTTCGTTCTAGCTGGAACCTTGTGAGTTCGTATCCATATGCAAAGTCAAATCAGGATAGGTCATCTATAAAGTCAGCAGCAATGTGCACCAAATCACAAGCTCAAAAATCTTATCTTCATCTGATTGGGTTCTGGTTGATCTCAATGTGGGCTGCATTAGTTTCACTAAGATGCTCATTGGCCACCTCAACTTTAGAACATGGGCCCCTTCACAAATTCTCAACAATCCTAGTCCCCTTAAGCTAGGTCATGCCATAGGCCAATGGTTCTCAACCTGTGGGTCATGACCCCTTTGGGGGTCGAATGATCCTTTCATAGGGATTGCCCAATTCATAACAGTAGCAAAATTACAGTTATGAAGTAGTAACAAAAATAATTTTAAGGGTGGGGGTCACCAAAACATGAGGAACTATGTTAAAGGGTTGTGGCATAAGGAAGGTTGAGAACCACTGCCATAGGCCCAGGCTTAGCTGAACTCTTAAACTTTAGACCGGGCAACCTGCCCTGTCTCTCCTCTATTCTTTGTGAACTAAGTCCATGGGTGTCAGTAGCCAGATTCAACCCGTTTTTCTATTGTTAATGTTTCTCCCACTTCCAATCTACAAGGGGATGGAGGCGGTAATCTAGCAAGCATCTGAGTTTTCCACAGCTCTCTCAGCAAGACTTTTCAAATGCAAATGTCCTGAGCACTTGAGGCACTGGGTAGGGCTTATTTTTTCTAAGCCTTCTTTCAGGCCAGATCCAATTTAATGGCTGGAAGCAGTGGACTTACAAATTCTCTACTTATACTTCCTAATAATCATTTCTATCACACATTATCTCAATAACGATGGGTAGAAAAGATCCATATAATCCTAGTTCAGCCAGATTTTAAACACATTCTTAAAATAGCCAAATTCAATCCTTTCATATCTAAACTATCCCATTCATATGCAATATGGCTTAGGCCTCTGGCTGTATCAAGCCAGGGCCTGGATTTTGGTCAGCCATTTCGACTCATTAGCATGACCTCAGAGAAGTTCAAGGGGCGATTTTGCCCCCAGAATTCAAAATTTACATTTATCATTTTCATTTTCACCATTTCAGACAGGCATTAAGAAAGACAACTGCTAGGAATCAATACCTCCCCTTCCCATGTCCTTTCCAGACAACAATCGAGTAAACAGTGTGGCCCTACCTGATCCCTGGCTAGCCAAGGGAGAAAAACTACCACAAGGCAGAGGCCAGATAAGCCTCCACCTTCCATTTCCATGATTTGTTTCCTTAACACCCCACTCACAAGGTACCATAATGTGTTAAGCTGGTTTGACTAGAGAAGCAAAGTAACATTCAAATATTTGTAAGAAAATATTCTAGTGCAGTCCAACTCAGATAGTAGTCCATCAGTTCCTCTTCAGACTCAAGAAAACACATAAAATGAGGCCGAATACAAGAATTTCACCAGTTGGTGGGTGCAAAGTCTTGTGGATCCAATGGATGATGGACACATCTCCAGGGCTCTGGCAGCAACCAGGTGCTCCAGAAGGAAGATGAAGGCAGAGAGAGACGGAGTTTCCCAGGACCCTCCTTATGAGAAGGCCATACACACAAGGAGGCAACTTCAGGCTCTGACCTGATTGACAGGCTAAACAACACCCCTACACTTTTATATGTCTTTAAGTTCACATGAAATTACCACATTTGTAAAAAGTGTCCCTCAAGCATTATAGTAATTGATTTGAGTTTGTAAATGTTGGTCTCAAATAGTTTTGAGACATTGTTGATACATTTTGAGATATTGTAATTATTATAATGATTTCCAACCGAAATGTTGTCAAAAAATATGTTGTAAATCTAAATGTGAAATGCATAATAAAAGTATGAAACAAATATGCTAGAAGTATTATCTACTTAAAAACCCCACTAGCCAGTCATTTTGTTCTTAGCTTTCTCTGATAAATCTATTGCTGTGTGTAAAAGATTAAATAGAGCATATTGTTTAGAACCATCAAATAAATTAGATCACTTATTTATGTATTTAATTTACGGTGGTTTGGGTGAAAGTTTATAGTGCAAGTTTTCACCTCAATAATCTATATATTGTAAGGTTCATGGCATTAGATGCACCCAATGCCATACCACTCTTCTCACTTTCTCTTTGTTTACTCACTTCCTTTGTTCTTTTGTGCCCCATAATGCCTCAGAAATTTGACTTTAGGATAATGCTTGTTTTGGTTCTGTTGATTGTAGTGAGGATTAAATTCTTCTTGGGTGTAATCGATCACTTTACTCTTTGGGTGAGAAGTGATCCCCTGGTGGGTTCAGTTTTAGGTTTAACAAGTGTTTTAGACTTGTCAACGTGTGCTAGGTTCTCTATTTATTAGGTCAATATCAACAAAAGCATGATGAAAATAATAAGCTTTAAACTCTCTCACTCCCTCTACATAGAAGGATAAAGATTTATACCAAGAATATAGCTCATATATTTGTAGAAGAATGTAGGTATAATTTGGTTTCATGACCATGGGTCAGATGTTAAGATTTTTCCAGACTGGCATATCTTCAAGAGCTGGTTAACTTGGGATTGTCATGAGCACCACTGGCTGCATGGGCAGGTGATTCCGAAGTCCACAGGTCAGATTTTTGAATGGAGAGAAAAATGAGTCCCAGGTTGGAAGGTCAGATAACAATGTTGTCTGCAGCTGCCTCCCAGGGTTTGAAGACAATATGGCAAGCTATTGGATCTAAAGATCTAAAGGTTTTCGAACCAGATTCAGGTTCCAGACTCAGCACAAAGCAAGCAAACTTCCCCACAGTGTTTGTTCATTTGTATAGAAAGTAGATCACCCCCATGAAACTTACTTTGGATTGCATCAGAGCTGTGACCTGAGTAAGGAGTTGCTCCACCCTAATCGTCTTACGACTGATTAGCTTCTTACAGCAGATTCCATTATGAATCTGATTACATTGTGTTAGGTTCCATACATCATGGGAGATTCCTAGGCTTTAACTGCCAAACCACTGAGACTCCTGACCCAATCAACCGACACAAACCATTCACAACAAGTGTCCAAGGATCGTAGTCTGCGGAGTCCCACAATTTTGTCTATAACATTTTATTGTCATCTTTAAAAAAAATCATTTTACTGGAACTCATACACATACACATACACTCTTATCACAATCCACACATACATCAATTGTGTGAAACACACTTACACATTCTCAAAACACTTGCTTTCTGCCTTGGGCTCCTGGAATCAACTCCTCATTTTTCTTTTTTTCCCCCTCCCTGCCCACATCCCCTCCTCCCTCCCTCATGAACCCTTGATAATTTATAAATTATTATTTTATCATATCTTATACTACCTGTCGTCTCCCTTCACCCACTTTCCCTTTGTCCATCCCCTAGGGAGGAGGTTAAATGTAGATCCTTGTAATCTGTTCCCCCTTTCTACTCCCCCTTCCCTCCTCCCTCCCAGCATTACCACTCTCACCACTGGTCCGGAGGGGTTCATCTGTCCTGGATACCCTGTGTTTCCAGTTCCTAGCACCACTGTACATCCTCTGGTCTAACCAGGTTTGTAAGGTAGAATTGGGATCATGATAGTCGGGGGGGTGGGGTAGGGGCGGGGGCGAGAAAACGTTTAAGAACTAGAGGAAAGTTGTGTGTTTAATCAATGCTACACTGCACCCTGAGGGACTCATCTCCTCCCTGCTACCCCTCTGCAAGGGATGTACAGTTGGCTACAGATGGGCATTGGTTCCCCATTGCACACTCCCCCTCATTCACAATGATATGATTTTTTATTCATTGGTGCTTGATACCTGGTCCCTTCAACCCCTTGTTATCACACAGGCTGGTGTGCTTCTCCCATGTGGGCTTTGTTGCTTCTGGGCTAAATGGCCGCTTGTTTACCTTCCAGCCTTTAAGACCCCAGACATCTTTATCAAAGTGGTTGGTAGTGACAGTTGGTCACCACTCATTGTTCTAGTCTCAGGAAAGTAGAGACTGTTGGTTGTGTGGTCACTAGGGTTGTGTGGTCACAAATTGCTTCCTTGAGACTATGATTTTCTTCACTGTCCTTTGCTCCAGACAGGAAAAGCCTGTTATTGCATCTTGTTGTTG